GTGCGGGTAAACTGCAATTACGATTTCTTAGTTTCCCCATCCCTCGCTTCGCAGCCGGAGTCCCGCGGGGCGCCGGGGACGAGGGCGCCCAGCCCGCCGTGCCCCAGCCCGGCCCCTACTCACGGAGCGCGGCAGCTTCGCCGGCCCGGCGCCGAAGTTCGCGACCTGCCGCCCGCCCTCGGTAGCTGCCATGCCGCCGCTCCGCCTGCTGCAGCCGCGCCGCGAACCCCTCCGCTATAAACCCGCGGGGGCCCGGCACTTTCCCCTCTGTCCCGGCCGCCCATTGGCAGCGCTGCCGCGGGAGGCGGCGAGAGGGGCGGGCGGCGAGAGGGGCGGGCGGCGAGAGGGGCGGGCGGCGAGAGGGGCGGCCCGCGCCGGGCGGGCGTGTGGGCACAGCCACAGAGACACAGAGACACAGAGACACAGAGAAACACAGACACACACACACACACACACACACACACACACGGTGAATGCACGTCACACTGTAACTTCCTGCCTGTGCTTCCCCCCCACGCGGGTACTGCAGCAGCGCTGGGATGCTTGCTCCAAAAGCAGTCTGCGTGAATGCGCGAGAACTTAAAAGCAATGACGATCCACAGTTACAGTGAATTTTAGGAGATCCTTCATATGAAATGACAAAAGGCAACGGACAGAAACTGATGCACAGGAAGCTCCAACTGAATACAAGAAAGAACTTAACCATGCAAGCGATCACGCACTAGAACATGTTGCCCAGAGAGGTTGTGGAGTCTCCCTTGCTGGAGACACTTAAGAACCATCCAGGTACAATCGTGTGCAATGTGTTCTAGTACATCCCTGATTAAGCTGTGACGCTGGAGATCACCCACTGTCTCCAACCAGACTATTTTTGTGATTCTGTGATTCATCTTGAGAGATGGGTTTACAGTACCCAGATCTTATATTTTGTGTCACTTTCCTTGTAGAGGAGGAGGATCCCTGCCTTCTATAACCCAACAAGTGTCTGCACGTTATGCACTTTCTCCAAGCCAACAAGTGTCTGCATGTTATGCGGTTTCCCCAAAAAGTCCATTGCAGGCAAATTGTTATTTGAATTTCATCAGAGAGTAAAAACAGGAGAGCTGTGAAACTTGATCATCTTCACATAATGGATAGCATAGCTTGGACTTGTCGAGGTTTGCCAAATCCTAGGCTAATATCCCTGAATACTAAAGCATTCCTCCCACATGTATCTATGGAAGTTATCTGTGGTATCTTGGTTCATTGAAAACAGAGTACAACTGAATTGTTGTAACAGAGACTTTAGCTCCTTCCATTTTCTGACTGTTGATACTGCCTATGAAAAAGTATTTACACTTTTTCTTTTACTCTGTCTTGTTTTTCCAGTTATGCATCATAGTAAATACAGCTATCTTTGCTTTTGTGTTAATTACGCAAATCCAGGTTCATCTGCAGAGACTGATCTGTGGCACTTGAAGGGTCAAATTCTCTGTCAAATGGTACAAGTTAGGAGCATTCTTGGAAATCATGGTTTTGAAAGCTTATATTGGGTGAACTATGAATACTGGGATGATTCCATGAATTCCATCATGGACTCGTTGATTGAAGTCAGTTTTCAAAGTTATTTTAAAGGCAGTAGCAGTAAACCAATTTTGACAAAGCAAGCCATGAAGTATGATTGAAAACAGATAGGCATCACAGAGTCCCATATCTAAGTACCTTCAGCAAGATTGATTCACAATTCTCATATGCAGCTGTATAAAGCACAGCTCTTGAACACATTAGATTGCCCAGTCTTTCCTACAATGCTGGCCCTATTTTAGTCTCATGGGTGCTCCCCAAGCTAATCATCAACATTAATCATCTGTAGAGAAAACTGCCAGTATCAATGTCTGCTATTTTGTGAATTCTGAGATGTATATAAAATACATCATTATCAGTTATTTCACCAAAGAAATAGTGACTACATGAATTTGTCCCTTTTTCTATCAAGCCAGGTGATACCTGGAACCACAAAACTAATTTACAGACCACAGCCTGATATGGTATTTAGTTGAAAAAGTTTCATCTTAAGGAAGTTATTTTGTTTAAAAATTTGTAAACAGAAACATTGGTATTAGAGCAAAGATAATTTTCATTTCAATGAGAGTTACAGCTTCAGAAAAATCCATCAAAATTGCCTTCAGGCACCAGAAACCTCCGCAGTTTTTAAGAGATAATAGCAAGCTTTGCAGACAACACAGGCTGGATACATTATATTCAAAACACCAAGATAGTTTTAAAGTATGTCTCACACTACAATACCCAGAACAACTATGTTACTTCTTAGTCATAATTAAATAGAAAATGCTACTGAAATGTTTCGTAACAACATAGATGTGACTAAAAATTTAATTATTTTTACTAGTGTTTCAAATAGAAATAAGATCAAAAGATACAGGCTTCTCATGAGTTTTTTCCAGTATTAAATCTAAAGCACCTGTGTAGTCCCAGAGCGGCAACTTAAAATTCCAGTCTGCTAGGAAAACCGTATCCAAGGTAGTAAGGGGGAGTGGAAGCAGTCAGAAATAGTGTAGGTTGGGGATTCAGGTCAGGAAGCCTGCCCACTACTACAAAAAGTGCTTCAACATCCCGCCAAGATCAGACTTGAATCTAATTGTGTGGCACAAACCACAAGGGAAATTAAAACTTTGGAGTTAAAAATGTACTTCAAATGCTGGCACAAAGAGCCAGAACACAAAAATAGAAACAAGGCAAGCTAGTGCTGGTATCAGCTCAGAGCACTGGTGGAAATACCAGGTATTGGAGTTTTCAGTTCACCGAAGTCTCATCCTGACCAGAAGGGTCAAAAATAGCAGCTCCCACAAGATCAAAGGACAACTCCACTGAAAGTCTTGTCACCCAGAAGCTCTAGAAAACCCTCTTTGTGCTCTGCATTGATGGGAAGTATATAAAATTGTAAAGAATGTATGGATGTGAAATTTTTGCTGTGGACAAGGGTGATTATGCTTTTGCAGACAGAAAGACTAAAGAGAAATAGTAAAGGCCACATTTAGTTTTGTTTGTATTGGATTAAGATTTCTCCTATTTTAGTAATTTACTAGCAGCAATTATAATTTCATGTTTTAATTACATCAGAAGTCACGAATTCCATCATGGAATCATACCAATAGTTCATCCAATATAAGCTTTCAAAACCATGATTTCCAGGAATGCTCCTAACTTATACTATTTGACCCTTCAAGTGCCACAGATCAGTCTCTGCAGATGAACCTGGATTTGTGTAATTAACACAAAAGCAAAGATAGCTGTATTTACTATGATGCATAACTGGAAAAACAAGACAGAGTAAAAGAAAAAGTGTAAATAATTTTTCATAGTTTTCAGTGAACTTTTATTAGGCTCATTGTGACTTCATGTTATGCTGGGCAGCAAAACCTTGATCAACTCCTGGAAAATAACCAGCTCACTCAAGGAGAGCACATGTACATAAATTCCCTGTCTGGTTCCACAAATGGACGTCATTATTTTAAGACAAATAATGCTGACTACATAGCAACCTGGCAAGCATTTCAGGAGGCAGCTGGGATGCCTGGTCCAGCATACCAGTGAGATGAGCAAATTTTGGTGAAACCTTACACTTCAGTGGTTCAAAAAAATGTTTGGGGCTATTTTGTTTTTCAAAGATCAAAGTCCTGAACTGTGAAGAGTAGGTGTTGGGAAGACTAAGTGAAAAGAGAAAAAGTTATTGAGCTTTATGAGTAAACAGTTCTCTAGCAAATAGCTAGTCTATTGATTTCAGGCTTTTAGGTCAAACAAGAACACAGACAATTATGTAAAATATTAACTAACAGCAAGAGAACGAAATTGTTTCTATTCAAACTCAGGGTAGAAAATGGTTTCCTAATAATTTAAAATAAAAATATTTTTACTTTTTATTATAATACTTTACTGTTAAATATGTAAAGAATATATATGTTTATATGTGTATAATACTTTTTGTAAATTAGTTTTTAATTGTTAGAAAAAGCGTTGGAAGTTCTGATGTATTCATGATAGCTCAAAAAGAATACTTGTCCCCTAGTAGCTTCAATCTATTGTCTTTGCCAATTTCATATCCAACTATATATAAAGTATGCACCACAGTACGAGAGCAATACCATAGCCCTAGTAACATAAATCAGAAACATGAAGGATTCTTCAACAGAAAAACAAAGGTTAAGTACTAATCCACTGAAAAAAAGTATGCCCATCTAAATTGCAAACTGCTTGGTTAATTTTGCTTTAAAATATTGGTTTTGAAATAATTCATACTCTAAATGCAAATACTGAAAAGCAAGTATTTAACACGAAAGGTATTAAACATCACCTGCGTTTGGGCATGTAATATAGTAATTGTTCTAAGTTCTTCAAGGTACTTTTAGGGACAAGAAATAGATTCCTAACTCTTAACCTTACAAATAAAACACTGCTGAATTTATAATTTTATCCAGCATTTCTCAGCAATTAGCTTTAGAATTTTAAATTTAAAAGGGGGAACAGGTAGTTTTTTTACTGCTGAATATGCAGATTGCATGTAATCATTTAGTCAGACCAAAATCACAAAGAATAACTGAAAAATTAGACAAGCAGTTGGGAAAATATGTAAAAAATTACAGATTATTATATTACCTTCTAATATTCTGAAGTGACAAAGTCTGTACAAAGAACATACTTTCATTGTGCAATTACTTGTGCAATATTGCAATAGCTAAGGTAATCTTGTGCTATTTGCTCTGTAGGATTGAATTGAGGATTCATGAGTTTTTTCGTATTTGTCAAGCAACTGGAGTCAGGAATTTCTACAGATGCTATGTGTTCCAGAAATCACATAGCAGATGATTGAGTAAAAAATAGTTATGGGCTGGTTTTTTTCCCAGTTCAGGCTAAATCATTCTGCCTAGCTCCTGTATGTAATTAGTATAGTCTAGTTCAGTTAAGCTGCAAACCACCTGCCTGTGCACAAGGACAAGAACAAGATGCCAGGGCTAAATCCCAGGAGTTTTAAAACAATGGTAATTTTCTTAGTTTTACATTTTCACATTTCTCTAGGTCCTGAGAGCAATCTGAATTAGACTATACATCCTCCAGAGGCTCCTTCCAACATGTGGTATTCTATGATCAGCAGACATAGCACTAACGATGGTTGTATTTAAAGGCTTCCTATAGCAATATTTCTGAGCTCGTTTTTGACTCTGAAACTTCCACTAATTTTCAGAATGTCATAAC